GCACACCAAATATTTCTGCTCCTGCGAAAAAACTGATTAAGTTCGACAAAAAACTGATCGAGTGCAGTTTTTTTGTAAAGTTTGCAGCAAGAGGTTGAGGTTTTCCTAAGTTATGTTTGGCTGTTGCTATCTGTTCGTGAAGTTCCTGAACTTTATTCATGATCACATTCTGCATATATATAGATTAAAAAAAATTCTAATTCCGTACTCAACTTTGAAAAGTATTAGATGGGTCAAACACGGGAACTTTTTACAGCCGAGAGCGAGTCATATGAAAGGTTTCCGTAATTTTGCCGTGATTTTCTAAACTATAGATAATTCCAACGTTTATCATAACATTTTCTCAACCACGCGTGGTTAGAGAAAACAAGAACAGTATTAAGAACTCAACACTTACCGGTCAAAGCTAAGAACAAAAGAGATACAAAAATCTCAAAATGACCAGATGAGACCATCCTAGTTCTCTCTCACTTCTCACTCGAATAAAACGTTCAAACGTTTTAAAAATATAAGCAGCTGTAAGCACTGGTCGTGTCCAAAAATTTTTTTTTTATACCGCAGGTTGCTTGTAATGATACCGTATATGTAAGTTATTTGTTAACCAATGGCTATTTGCATTGGTGTTTATTTAATTGGAGCTGTCTGATATTATTTTCGTGTATAAGAATTAGTCAAGGTGGCTCGATGGGGTTTTTCAGGGCCAATACCTTTCAAGTTTGAGCATTAACTACGTTGTCGTCGATAAAGATCTGGAAAAATTACCACCTCAGCTGTAAAGATAAAGATGAAAAATTGTTATGATCAGAGTTGAAATGACATCAGAATTGTCATTGCAACGAAATGACGCCATTACCTAATTTACGTGTAGTCATATATCTCGGCACTGAGAACTATTTTTCCAAAATCGTTCACGGGAACTTTTTTCTGCTATAGCTGCCTCGATGTTAGCGAAGTTTGAGCGAAATCTATGAGACCGTTAAGGAGATATTTTGGGATGAAATTTTAATGGCTGGAACTTCAGTACACGGTGGAAAATCTTGATGTTCGGCCGTCATTTTTAGGAAACGAAGCGCTTTTGAAACGTAATTTTGCCTCAGTTCGGCGTTTTTGTAAATATTTTGATCTACTGCGACAAATGAGCGAATAATTTTGAAACTGCTAGATAATTTTCTTTTAAATGAGATTCTCGAGATAAATGGAAAGTCAGTCATAGCTCAATGCTCCTGTATTAATGACGGAGCCACCTTAATGCAGCAACGGTGTATAAACGGCAGACTTCTCCTTGTTGAAAGATCTTAATTCAAAATTTTTACGAGTTCAGTGACCGAGTCCTTTTTAAGGCGAAAACGCAATCGAAAATCCCGGCTTCGTCATGATATTCCTCTTAAAGGTAAAATCTGTCCCTATGGTGCGGAATTTGTTGAACAGGCATTTTACGTCGATTGGGGCAGTCTCTTTTTCTCTCATTAACTGTCTGTTGAGCAGTAGTCCGTCTATTTCAGGTCATTTCAAAATGGATGGCCATGAAAAAACCGTTAAACAAGGTTTAGACCTACCTGTGAGCAACTTTGACTTTCTACTGTTCCTCAGTCGGTGCTGAGACGCGGTCTAAACAAGGTTACGGAAAAACAGCGTTTAAATAATCGGTTTTCATGGTTTAAATACGGGTTAGACGATGACTTTCATAAACGCTGTCTAAACTTGGTTTAAATAAACGGCCCTTTGAGTTCAAAGAAATGAAACAATAAATACGAAATGACTACAAAAAATTTCTTTTCCAGCGCAAAGGCCTCACGTTGTAGCTCAGTAGTAGTATGTTATGGTGAAAGAGTATTGACGGCTTTTACTTCAAGTAATCTACTTTGTCAAAACGTTTGAAGTCTTGTTTTCTACAGAGCGACTTAAGATTTCCAAGTGCTAACTTGAAACTAACTTCGCTTCTAGTGTGAAGCCAACAAATAAAGATGAAAAATGAAACACTCAAAAACATTATGCGTAAACATTATGTTGAGGAAACTGGAACCGCCCTTATGTTTACCCTTTCTAATTAAAGGCCTCACGAACAGAGTGTGGTTCGCCTGTGCACAGATATTTGCGGAGTACCCATGCGTTGATAAACTGGAATCAAGGTTGCGATTGTGTATTTTTTCAGTGGGGCAATATACCGTCATGTCGATGTTAAATTGCTCTCATCTTCCAAATCTGGTAAACTTCTGCTGGTTTTGAAGAATAAGTTGGGGGATTTAAACTAATCAGAAACGGCGGAATATTTTATAAAAAATGAATAATTTTTGAACTGAAATGATGAAATAAGGAATAATGGCCTCAAGAAAATTTTCGAGCGGTAAATCATGGAATAATTAACACCCAATTGTTCCTCTTCACCCCTTTATTAAAATAGTGTAGTTTCAAAATTTAATAGACACATTACAGTTACACCACCAAGCAAAGTTTGCTTTAAGGGGGCTATGCTACATTAGTAAAATCCAACTAGTGGTCTATTATCAATGCTGTTCTGATTGGTTGAGCTACTACTAGGTTACATGTTATAGCCCACTATAGTAGCGAAAAGCGCCGGCTTTTTGGCGGCAAAAAAGGATTAAAGTCTAGCTTTAACTAGCAAAAATGTTTTGGACTATCGACTCAAATTCCATTCGGGCTCTAGGAATAATTGTTAATTATTTGCCATCTTTTTAAAATCTAAAACTTTTTTCACATCAGTCGAGTTCCAAAACTAATGCTTCAGTTTTGTTATTATAATTAGGCACTGAAACTGTTTCCCGTCATCTGCTGCGGCGGATGGCAAGGATGGCCATGGATTGAAACTGAGAAAGTTGGGCCAACTTTTTCAATTTTTTAAAAAAATTGAAAAAATACAATGGCTGCAAAAATCACCAAAAACTATAATTATGGTTATTGCTCCTAGTGAAATTTGTTTGATATCTTCTTTATAACTCCACAGGAGTAAGGGCTGCAAAGGCAATAAGGCTCAGTTCAAACGTCGATCTTTTCATGTACCGAACCTAATACCTTCATTTAAGTACATGATAAGATCGACGCTTCAAATCTAATTTGGTCGACCCATGAATTAAGATCCAGTGGCCCATACAGGAATTTCGACTTTGGAGTAGACTGCAAAACAGTCGGTTTTTTTTCTCAAAATCATTAAAGAAGTCGGTAAAGCGTGGCGTAAGATTCTTACGCGCGTACTTGAATACTCAAAAATACGGACTGTTTTGCAGTCTAACTGTGGAGCGACTTCGTTTAAAACGTCGAACTTCTCATGTGCCCAACCTAATGTATAAATTACTAAATATATTTAATTAGCCAGGGCTAAAAGAGAAGCTCTCGATAATATTTTTAGTTTGCTCGAACAAAATATAAATATGTTAGGCGGCGAAGGCAACGAGAATGGTGAAAAACAACAATAGGTCTAATCAGCAAAAAAGCAACTTTGCACGTGCAACACACTTTTTTTGTACATTTCTTTGCCGTTGTTTTGGAAGACTACAACGTGAAACTTCCAGAAACTTCCTAGTTACACGTTTTATGGAGGACCTGTCGTACGTGTTCTTGTTCACTTTTTTTTCACTGCCGCTCATTTTCACCTTGGTGGCCACTAGCATTTCTCATTTTCACCGCGGTTACAATGTTCATATTATTCTTCCAACAAAAAATGACTCCTTCGTTTTTTATCTCTCGCTCTAGCTCTCTGTCGCCCTTTTTCTCTCCTTGAGTGCTGGCCTGTCGCCCACATTCTCTTTTCCGCTCTTTCTCTATATTCCAAATTTTGTGGACATGAAATTTAATCAAAGCTTAATACTTTAGACAAAACGGATACAAAAACAATTTCCGCTTTCCGTTTTCGTCTTTATTGACTCTTTAGTTGTCTCTGCTTCACAAGACGCGGGTGGCTATGCGATTTCCCGCCAAAATAACCTCCAGTTGCATTTGGGTTGCCATACCTGTTATTTGAGTAATTTTGCATTTGTATGCCTGTGGTGCGGACGGATGGGCGGACGGGCAGACGGTCACGTGATTACCAAAATTTCTCGGATGGGTAGATAACCACATTTTCTTAGGTATGGGGCTACGCTTGCGCGCAAGTGGAGCCCCTCTAAAATTTATTTTCACTTGTAAGCATTTTATATTAGATCATTAAACAACTTGAAAATGAATTGAGTCCGACTAATTAAGTTCGACGTCTGAATCAACTGTCGAACTTATATCATTTGAGTCGACCTAAACTTACCAATTAATGAATGAGGCTGAGTAGGATATGAAGAATTGTGCAGATCGAGGAGGATGTTATCCACCTAGGCCGATAACACCTTCCGAGATCCGCATAATTCTTTTTAGTAAAATCCAACTAGTGGTCTATTATCAATGCTGCAGTCTGATTGGTTGAGCTACTACTAGGCTATAAGTTATAGCCCATTAGTAGCGAAAAGCGGCGGCTTTTTGACGGCAAAAAAGGATTAAAGTCTAGCTTTAACTAGCTAAAGTTGTTTTGTCTAGACTAGTTGGATTTTACTAAAAAAATTATTCCGCGTGACATAACCCTTTTAAGAACTTTCGTTTTTCATTCTTTGTAACAAATGAAATGAATTTCAGTACTCAGATAAACTCACTTATCACCTCATCCTTTTTTCTCAGTGCTGTCCTATAAACCGCAGCCTCCTGATCATCAGTGTATCTGTAATCTTACGAAGGTTGCCGTACAGTTCTTTTTTGGTTTTAAGGTCTAAGGTTACGTAAACAATCAGGAATAATCTCTCAGTCGACTCCCATGCTACGCTTCATTGGGCTAAAAAAGCGTCCTATTTGAAACAACAAGGTAGAAGCGCACAAAAACCAAGGAGGTCGACTCCACGCGGCCTGAGCTTGACCCGGCTTCTGTAGCACGAGGAAGGTACAGTTGAATCAACAAGAACAAATAGCGTTGGTTCAAATTCGCTTAGAGAATTAGTTTTAACCAAGTAAACAGCGACGACGATATCTTAACGCAACCCGACACTAATAAGCCTGTTGCTGAGAGCTCGGTGACCATTTTCGTTGAAGGCCACACCACTGAATCGAAGATCTGTGGATGCTGTACGGAAGTACGGCGATAAAGAATCACCACACCACGTATTACAATATTTGTAACAACCAGTGTAACCGGAAACGAAGAAGCCCGAAAAGAAAGAATGATCACAGACGAGCAGCTGGTAGACGAAGTGTGTGTTACTACTTGCTCCTACTCCGTCCGTCAATACTCTGTCCCACAGTCCATAAGCACTGCCTCTATTCCCGTAGTTACCGGTGGCTTTTATTGGTGTCTGGTCACGTTGTGTGAAGTAGGCCTTGCTTCCAGTTTGGTGATCTATAAACATGATTTCTGTAAACTAGAACGAAAAGCAACAGCGAAATAAGGGCTGAAAGAGGCTATGATGAACTAAGAGTTAAGGTCACCTGCATTTACAATACAATACAATACTTTTTTTATTAATTCTCCCCGAGGGGCTTTTCAGAATTAATTTACAATATGTATATATAATACAACTAAAACTGATGATATACATGTTCTTGATATATAAATAACAACTTAAAATTACTACTTCTAATAATAATTAACAATGTAATAAAATACTATGATATGTATACCGGTATCCTATTTCTACATTAATGCTGTCTTTGCATGCTACCGCTTTTTAATTGATCTCAATGATCGGGCAGTTCTAGTGTTGTTACTGACACTATTTCACGCTTTTGTTGCCCTATAAAAGAAGCCACTCTGGGCAGCCGCTGTCCGGCATCCTGGCAGGTTTAGACCTTCACTGTTGAGGAGATTGTAAGGGTGCGCATTGGATCGCTTCCCTATTTTACAGCTAATATATGCTGGCACTAAATTGTTAACACATTTGTACATCATTGTCACGTCTCGCAACCAAAGTTGCTCCTCTATAGTCAGCCAGCCAAGAGCTTTCAGGGCCGGGGTAATATGATCGTATTTCCCTGTGTCAGTTAGTATACGGGCAGCAAAGTTCTGCATAAGTTTTAGTTTATGGATGTTCTGTTTATAAGTAACAGCCCATACAGCGGAACAGTAACATAATTTCCTGCACACAACAGAGTTGATCATTATATACAAAACTTCTTTGGAAAACAGGTGGCGGACCCTACTTATTTGGCACAAACTAGATAGCAAGGATGACGATAATGATGAGATGTGATTATTGAATGTTAAGCTAGAGTCCAGGGTAACATCCAGATCTTTGGCGGACGGGACAGGGCATAGTTGTTGTCCAAGGAAGGACACAGTGACATCAGGTAGCTTTGATACAAGTTGCCGTGTTCCAAAGAGCACAAGTTTAGTTTTATCCGCGTTTATAAGCAGGTGATTTGCGCCGCATTTGATTCAGAACTGACCCTGGAACTCAGAACTGTTTTCCAGAACCTTTGCCAGTTTTTCAATAGGTAACTCAATAAAGCCATTCAAAGCAATTAATCAACTTACTTTGATATTGTTGCAGTTCGTTCTGTACCCGTCAGTTCCATATTGAAATGTGGCATTGTACTTGACCTCAATCCTGGGTTTGGCGTATTCATCGGTGGTGTAACACATGGTCCATCCTCCATTGTATGACGTCATGTCACAGTAAGCCAGGAAGGCGTTTGAATGGCTTTCTCCATCAGGGTCTAACCAGTACATACCGTCTCCCTTAGAATGACCTTTCATTTTTATATCTTGGCAGCCGTTAACTCCTATCACAAATAATACAGGTAATACGAATGATGTTTTAGTCCAGTCAGATCAGTATCAGTTTAGTTTCAGTTCACTTCGTCACAAAAAAATTAATTGCTATACATTGCACATATGAAAGAAAAAGTTGAAGCTCAATGGTAATTATTTTCCTGGCGAGGAAGCGCAAATTCGAACTGTCAGCTCCCTTCCTAATTTAAGACTACACAGACTCATATGTCGCCAAATAAACTTGCAACCTTCCAAATGAGATATTCAGTAGTTATTGACCTGGACATAGCCTTCCCCGCACTGGGGAAGATTGCGCCAGTGATGAGCCAAAAGGACGTCTACGTAGGAGGAACCTAGACAAAGCTCCTCGAAGACCGCCGAGGGCCAACTCAGGGTTGGAATTGTTGAGTTCTTGGTTTTACTGTCTTACTAGCCTACGTAGCAAGCGTTTCTGTGCGGTTTAGGAGCAAAGAACGAGGAACAAGAGTCAAAGACCGCGCGAAAAATGTTTGAAGTAAAAGAACGGGGAGGGTTCTCGTTTAACTTCTTGCGCGATCAAAACCGAAAATCCCCTTCCACGGTCTCCTTTTGCTCCGAAACCAAACGGAAACGCTTGCTACGCAGGCTACTGTCTTACTGACTTTTTTGGACTGTCATGTTGTGTAGGCGTAACTGGGTGTCTCCGTTAAGGCTCGGTGCTCTCTTATAGAAAGATGTCTTCCTACACAAGAGCGTTTTCTCGCCGTTTTGTTTTAAATTTTACCCTTTAAACCTTGGCTTCAGTTAAATTTCGAGCTACTCTGGCCTAACCTAAAAATTTAGGTGGGTTAGGAAAAGTTTCCATTGCCCATGAAAAAAGTTGACATTATGACGAACATGCAGTTTTAACGTTGCCTACCGTGTTCACAGCGTATACCGGTGACATACGCCGGGCACAAACAACGGAATCGTTTTTCTGTAAATCCAGCTTGGCATGTTCCACCGTTCTCACAAGGAGCTTTATCACAAGCACTCTTTAGATAAAGGGAATTTTTTTAAGTTACATGATAGAAAGAAAGAATTTGAAAACAGAAAGCAAAGAACTGAAAGAGGAAAAAAGTCAGGTTCAAGACCGGCCTCACTGCTAGCTGGATTTGTTCTCGGTGGTTCTGAGTTCAAATCCTCGACCAAACTTGTTATTAGCTTGCTGGCTTGATTCCGGCCAGTTGGGATTCTTCCCCTATAACGTTTGATTTAAAATGATTTGTCTAAGACATTTTCCCAGCCCCACTAGCATTAATTGCTATATATGACTGCCCGAAGAGTAAATAACGGATTTTTTTCATTAATCGGGTGTGCTGACCTCTCGGCCACGCTGCCAATTTTCTAATTCTAATTCGTATCCCAATTTTATAATCTGTAAAGGGCATAGATATCACTGCAGATATTCCTTTGTTCCTTTGTAGAGGAACTTCATAACTGCCTACCTCTGCTCCACGATAAACGTATCCTTTTGCGTCCACGAAATCCTGATCGTGTCCCAGATGGGTTGAATTGTTTAATTCACAGTTGTATGAGCTGCCTCCTGCTACCGAGCGCACTTCGTATTTAAAATCAATGCTAACACAATTCGGTTCCTGGTAGCACAGCAGTTCACAGATATCTATGTCCAGGACTTGGCTTGTTCTAATCGTGTGGCCTTTCAGACGTTTATCAGTATAGGAGAAAGAGGCCGGGAACTTCAATTTACGGCATTCACCTGAAAGATTGCCATTATTAATACTGATTACCCGGGAACCCTAGGAGAGCTTGCTCGCGGGCTAATACTGATTGTCGGCGCTGTACAGGTGCACAAGCGTGACCACGTAAGAGAGGTTAGGCCATATGCACCTGGTTTGCTTGATATATCTGTCTATTCACGTCTGTCGTACCTCGCCCAATGCAAGGGGAATCCGCACTCCGAAATCCGGGAAATTTTGGCCGCTTGTTGAATCCGGAGTTGTGGGCTTTTTGGAATCCATAAAACAGCTCAAGGAATGCCATTAAAGATTGGAATCCGGAATTTGAATTCCTTTTACAAAGTCAGGAATCCATTACCTGGAATGTGGAATTCACTTCGAGGAATTTAGAATCCAATCTTGACTGTCTTGGATTCCCTTGCATGGGGTGACATTGCGCATTGGTGCAAATAAGAAGCTTTCTCCACTTTAATGTCAAAAAATTGTTGTTTATCTTTGCTTAAAATCAAGTTTAAATGTGCGCTGGTGAAATTTGGGAAACTGCCCACCTACCCCTCCCCTAACTCAACGTCACATTTGCGTCTCACTTGGCGCAAAATGTTGGGTTGGGGGTGGGGGGGGGGGGGTATGTGGCCAGTTTCGCAGAAACGTAAATTGATGTAAAATATAAAGTTGTCGTATATTACGCAAATCTGTAAAATTGAAACTTTTTCGTCGGAATTATAGCTCATGGAATATAATTTTCTATTTACAGGCTACACAAAGTTGTCAGCTTTTGTGATGAGGCCAACAGAAGGCCTGACCGCACAAAAAATATAGGCAAATTGCTATGCACTATCTGTAAATTGTACAGAATGCGTAGTGACTCAGTCAATTTCAAATGTACCCATCCCCCGGGGCATTGGGAACGAATTTCCATTGTCGAATTTCATAATTTCTACCACTTTTAAAAAAGGAAAACTATTTCGTATTATGAGTACGTAACCACAGCTGTTTAAGAAATATGTTGTCACTCATAACTCTTAGGGGTTTTATTGTAATATTGTTGCTCTTACCGAACTGGCCAATGGACGGAGTAAGCACAGCTATTGTAGACATTCTGGAAAGGCGAGCAGTCTATTGTGGAGAATAAACTGCGGTGGGCGGGGCTCAGTTTGGAAAGCTTTTCAAAGAATTTGAATAGAAAGTGTCACTGTTTCAAAGATTGCATGGAAGGTTTGTATAAAAAGATGACCCTATCTGAAAAAAGACATCCATCTTCACAGTCTGCAGAACTGCACAGCGTTGCAACATTGTTGCGACATTGTTTCGAAATGAAAGCGCTCAGGCCACCAATATTTTATGAATAAAATACAGTTTATTTTCATTAAGCGCTCAGATGTTGTTGCCTGGGTTGTATTTGTGACAGTTAATACTGGTGCGTTCATTATATTCACTTCGTGGATTTGAGGTTTTACAGCCTCTTTCACAGGCAAGATTTTTGCTTTGTCTCCGCGAAAAAACTGATTAAGTTCGACAAAAAATTGATCGAGTACAGTTTTTTTGTAGAGTTTGCAGCGAGAGGTTGAGGTTTTCCTAAGTTATGTTTGGCTGTGCTGTCTGTTCGTGAAGTTCTGAACTTTATTCATGATCACACTCTGCATATAGATTTTACAAAATTATAATTCCGTACTCAACTTTGAAAAGTATTAGATGGGTCAAACAAGGGGAAGTTTTTACAGCCGAGAGCGAGTCACATGTAAGGTTTCCGTAATTTCGCCGTCATTTTCTAAACTATAGATAATTCCAACGTTTATCATAACATTTTCCCAACCACGCGTGGTTAGAGAATACAAGAACAGTATTAAGAACTAAACACTTACCGGTCAAAGCTAAAAACAAAAGAGATACAAAAAACTCAAAATGACCAGATGAGACCATCCTATACCAGTTCTCCCTCACTTCTCACTCGAATAAAACGTTTAAACGTTTTAAAAATATAAGCAGCTGTAAGCACTGGTCGTGTCTAAATATTTTTTTATATACCGCAGGTTGCTTGTAATGATACCGTATGTAAGTTATTTTTTAACCAATCGTTATTTGGTGTTTATTATAAGCAGCTGTCTGATATTATTTTCGTGTATAAGAATTAGTTAAGGTGGCTCGATGAGGTTTTTCAGGGCTAGTACCTTTCAAGCTTGAGCATTAACTAAGTCGCTGTCGATAAAGACTGGAGAAATTACCTCCTCAGCTGTATTAGATAAAGATGAAAATTTGTTATGATCAGGGTTGCAATGACATCAGAGTTGTCATAACAACGAAATGACGCCGTTACCTAATTTACGTGCAGCCACAGTAGTTAATCAAGAAAAGGTTTGATTCGTTCTTGGTAGGAACTTCTCAGGGGCTAATAAGGAAAATGAAAAAAAAAACAGGACTTTTCACATTTGTGCTAGTATTAGAGCCACGGATGAATGCATTGCTAAATTGTCTCACGACCTGGCGGCTTTGTCTTCATATTAGTTTTCCACCACAGTCCACGTTCTACGCGTGCCGACTGTGCAGCCGGCCAAATTATTTCCCTCTCGAGTTGCGTGCGGTCCGTCGCGTGTATCATGGCCCGATTTCTTTTCTCAGTTGTTAATTCAGTTGTTTCTTGGGATAGCTAGGTTTTCCTGTCCGTTGATTCTTTGTATGAAATTGAATTTTGGTCGAACAATGTTAGTGTTCTCCACGGCTAAATTTATTTAGGGGTTCCAGTTCGCTTCCAGTGAGAGTAAGCTCCGGCTTCTCCGATGCTTCCGATTCAGCCTGCGGCGCTTAAGGGGAGTCTGAACCTGAGCTGATTTTTCATCAAAATTGGTCGCAAAGTGTTCGTAGATCGACTTGGAGAGAGCTCATAGCGGTTTGTCTTGCATTTCTAGCCTTCACGAGCCCTTTATCTAATTCGAAGGTTTTTTGGTATTCTGACAACCAGAACGTCGAATCCATTCTTCGCGACGGCAGCAGGAAATTCAATCTCCAGGATTTAGCCCAAGTTGTTTTTCAAATTTGCTCCCATCATTGTATTTCGTTTGAGGTCAAGTGGATCCCTAGGGACCTGAACGCCAGTGCGGACTGTATCGGCAAGCTCGTTGACTTCGATGGTTACGGCCCCAACGATTTTGTTTTTCAAGGGCTTAATCACCTCTTAGGTCCTTTAACTACTGACAGGTTCGCCTGTAGCTACAACGGCGAGTTGCCTAGGCTTTACTCTCGATTTTTCCAGCCAGCCTGTTAGGCTGTTTATGCCTTTGCTCAAAATTGGAGTTAGGGCAACGACTGCCTTGGCCCACCGGTTTGCCTCATTGTCAGAGTCATCAGACACAGTGGGCTCTGCCGCGCTATGGAAGTCAGCTATTTTCTGGAATGTTTCTACTAGAGATGGAGTGCATTGGAATAGTTTTGTTGTCGACTGGGTTTTATTGCCTAAGTTCCAGGGATTATTTGTTCCAGGGAAGGCCCGTAATTGCCTTTTCAGATCCAGGCCTTTAGTTTTTGGCGTCATAGCGCGTCGAGTTTATTTTCGGCGCCCCAGACCTCTCTCGTCCCTGGCGGGCTTCTGCTCTACGCTGCCTGACGGAAAGTGTTACCTGTGCCTCTACACGCGTGAAATGCGTACCTTTAGGTTTGGACCCACTAGTTTTTTGCATGTAGCCTTTTGACCACCCCCCTCCCCCACTCTCCTCTCACTTCCCTTTTCCGGTGTTTTCAGCTCGCTTTTTTTTTTAATTCCTCTTTATTTCGTGCTCCTCACATTCTCTTTATATATTTTCGATTGCTTTTCAGATATATTCCGCTCGATCTGGTTTCTAGCGCGGGCCCCAGAATTTCCCACCAGAGGGTTTAATGCTGAGGCTGACAGGCAGTCTACAATGCAATCGACGGTTCTCTCCTCATGGGCCGTTAGTATAACAGTGGTGTACCCTCGTGCCAGCGAGCTTCATTCCTGGGCCTGTCCTGCCAGTCCCTGCCATGTTGCCTTGTATTTGCAACACCTCATTGAAGAGTCGCACTTCCCGTGCGTTGTAAACTCGGCTGTTTACGGTACTAAATGGGCTCATACCATGGCGCGTATCCCCTCTCCCACAGATAACCCGATTATTGAAGGGGTTAGGTGTGCTTCCAAAAGGATTTTAGGTTTGATGAGGTCTCCATAATTAGGGGAAATATATTTTCTTTCATGAGGGTTTCATGATCATTAAGGTTCTCAAAAGCAAGAACGACCAACTTCGTAAGGGCGATGTATCGAAGTGATTTTTTCGAAAATGTTTGGCCCTGCTTGGCCTGTCAAGCTTCTTAAGAGGTACCTTGCTCATTTTTCCATCCCCTCTAGCTCCAGGGATATCATTTTTAGCCCCACGTTTCGAGGGAACTACTCCTTTAAGTTAGTTTCCCAGGACGAGCCTATCAGCTATACCACAATTAGAGAGGCTTTTCGCAAGGACCTGAGAAGTGTCGGAGTTGACTCTTCCAATTTTGGTTTTTATTCCTTTTGTTCGAGAGGGGCCACTTGGCCACTTCCCCTGCTTGTAATGGGGTTAGTGACAGTGTGTTTCAGTGGCTCGTCCGCTGGAAGTCCGTTCAAGCCAAGGACGCCTACCGATGATGACCTAGAGAAAAGGTTTTCAGTTTCCAAGTTTCTTGGGCTCTAGGAGCTTTCATTTGTCATTTGGCCCAATACTTTGTCATTCTACGTACTTTGTAGGGTTAGTTCTCGCCAGGCCGTCCCAAAATAAACTTATTTGCCATCACGTTTTGTCTGTTAATGTTGTGTAGTGGAGTCAAAATATGTTATTTCTGACGAATGAGCCCGCGAAGAAGGCAGAAATAAATATTTTGACGGCACGAGATACAACAGGGCCTGGGTACTAGGCCGGGTGCACCATGGGTAGCCATATCGGGGGTATATAAGGCTGCGTATATCACGTGTAAGTCATCTAGGCTTAAGAACCAACCTCTCTTTGGTTTTTCTTAAATGTTTGTTTTATTTATTTTTAGGAGCAACCTATTCTCGATTACATTGTTAAGTCCCGTAGGAATGGCTTTGAGCTTGAGCCTTGGTTCCTACCCAGATTTCCTGCCCGCATTTTTTCCCTTCGGGGTTTTTTTGGGCAGGTTTTTTCTGGCCTCCGTCTCACCGCATTTACTTCAGTTTGTAAGCGGTAGCTCAGCTCTGCTAGTTTTCAGCTTTTTTCTCTTTTCTTATTTTATATACTTGTACAGTTATCTCAGTTTTGCACCTGCTCCTTTACTTGATATATTTAGTTTCTATGTATGCTTAGGTCAGCTGTCCCGGAACCGCTCTTTAGGAGGCGACATATGTCTCGTGACGCAGTTAGGTTGCAGGCAATGTTACAGACCTCTAGCCAGGGTCGTTATCCATTTGTTTACCCTCAATGTTCTGCGCTAGCCTTTTCTGGCAGCGTTAGTGGATATTGGGCTACGTGCCTTGTTGGGTACATTAGTGGAGATAATTCCCAGTTTTCCTGGCCCTCAGCCTCTGTGCTCCTGAAGTGTTCCCGGTCCGAGTTATCTGTTGGTCAGAGTTTTATTAAATTTCCCCAGCCTAACTGGCAGCCTAACTGGCACTAAGCCTGCGTGCTTATTTGGGGTATTCAGGTCGAGATCGACCAGTTGTAGCAGTTCTTTCTTTTTGCTTAGCCTCTGTGCTCCTACCGTGTTCCATGTGCCAGTTATCCGTTGTCAGAGTTTTATTAATTAGTTTCCCCAGCCTAACTGGCAGCCTATAACTGGCACTAAGCCTGCGTGCTTATTTGGGGGATTCAGGTCGAGATCGACCAGTTGTAGCAGTTTTTCTTTTTGCTTAGCCTCTGTGCTCCTACCGTGTTCCATGTGCCAGTTATCCGTTGTCAGAGTTTTATTAATTAGTTTCCCCAGCCTAACTGGCAGCCTATAACTGGCACTAAGCCTGCGTGCTTATTTGGGGGATTCAGGTCGAGATCGACCAGTTGTAGCAGTTTTTCTTTTTGCTTAGCCTCTGTGCTCCTACCGTGTTCCATGTGCCAGTTATCCGTTGTCAGAGTTTTATTAATTAGTTTCCCCAGCCTAACTGGCAG